CTACCTGAAAGCCATGATCAAAAAAAAGAGCCTAGACATCATCTTTCAAGAAATTATCAAGGAAAACTGTTCTGATATTTTAGAACCAGATGGCAAAATAGAAATTGAAAGAATCCACAGAACCCCTCCTGAAAGAGATCCCCAAAGGAAAACTCCTAGGAATATTATAGCCAAATTCCAGAGTTCTCAGGTCAAGGAGAAAATATTGCAAGCAGCCAGAAAGAAACAATTCCAGTATTGGGGAAACACAATCAGGATAACACCAGATTTAACAGCTTCTACATTAAGAGATTAGAGAGCTTGGAATATGATATTTCAGAAGTCAAAAGACCTAGGATTAAAATCAAGAATCACCTACCCAGCAAAACTGAGTGTAATCAATGAGGGGAATAAATTCACATCCAATGATGTAGAGGAATTTAATGCATTCTTGAGAAGCCAGAGCTAAACAGAAAAACTGACTTTCAAATACAAGACTCAAGAGAAGCATGAAAAAAGGTAAACAGGAAAGAGAAATAATAAGGGACTTACTAAAGTTGAACTATTTACATTCCTACATGGAAAGATGATATGTGTAACTCATGAGACCTTTCTCATTATTAAGGTAGTTGGAGGGAATATATATAGACAGAGGGCACAGGGTGAGTTGACTATGAAGGGATGATATCTAAAAAAGAAATTAAAGGGTGAGAGAGGAATGTACTGGGAGAAGGAAAAAGGGAAAAGTAGAAAGGGAAAATTATCACACATAAAAGAGGCAAGAAAAAAGTTTATAGACGAGGGGAAGAGGGAGGAGGTGAGAAGGAATGAGTGAACTTTACTCTCATTGAATTTGGTTTAAGGAGGGAATAACATACACACCCAATTGGGTATGGAAATCTATCTTACTATACAGGAAAGTAGGGGGGAAGAGGATAAGAGAGAGAGGGGTGATAGAAGGGAGGACAGATTGGGGGGGCTAATCAGAAGCAAACAATTTTGAGGAGAGACCCGGACAAAGGAAAGAACAGAATAAATGGGGGGCCAGGATAGGATGGAGGGAAACATAGCTAGTCTTTCACAATATGACTATTATGGAAGTGTTTTGCATGACTGCATATGTATAGCCTATGTCGAATTGCTTGCCTTCTCAACCAGGGTGGGTGGGGAGGGAAGAGGGGACAGAATTTGGAACTCAAAAGTTTCAGAAACAAATGTTAGAAATTGTTTCTACGTGCAACTGGGAAATAAGATACACAGGCAAAGGGGTACTGAAATCTATTTTACCCTACAGGAAAATAGAAGGGGAAGAGGATGGGTGGGGGGGCTGCCTCGGTAATAGAGGGAAGAACAGATTGGGTGAAGGGGGAATCAGAATGCAGGATGTTATGGGTTGGGAGTAGAGGAGGAATGGGGAGAAAGTTTGGAATTCAAAATCTTGTGGAAGTAAATGTTGAAAACTACAAATAAATAAATAAATTGTAAAAAAAAAAAAAAGAGGATTTGCCTCACAGAATAATTAAATAAACCAATCTTTGAAAAATAATTGAACAAAGCCATCAATTTTTCCTAAGGAAAAATTCCTGGGGCCAGATGGGTTCACAAACAAATTCTACCCAATATTTAAAGAACAATTAATCCCAATACTATATAAATGATTTGGGAAAATAGGGAAAAAAGGAGTTCTACCAAATTACTTTTATTACACAAATACAGTGCTGATACCTAAAACAGGAAGAGTCAAAACAGAGGAAGAAAATTATAGACCAATTACTCTAATGAATATACATGCAAAACTTTTCAACAAAATACTAGCAAGGAGATTACAGCAATATATCACAAGGATCATTCACTATGACCAGGTAGGATGTATACCAAAAATACAGGGCTGGTTCAATAGTAGGAAAACTATTAGCATAATTGGCCATATCAAAAACAAAACTAACAGAAATCATATCATTATCTCAACAAATGCAGAAAAAGCCTTTGACAAAACATAATGCCCATTCCTATTAAAAACACTAGAGAGCATAAAAATAAAAGGAGTTTTCCTTAAAATAATAAGTAATATTTACTTAAAACCATCAGTAAGCACTATCTGTAATGGGGATAGGCTAGAAGCCTTCCCAATAAGATTAGAGGTGAAACAAGGATGCTCATTATCACCTCTATGATTCAATATTGTACTAGAAATGTTAGCTATAGCAATAAGAGAAGAAAAAGAAATTGAAGGAATTAGAATAGGCAATGAGGAAACAAAACTTAGAGAATGCTAGAGAATCAACTAAAAAACACTTGAAATAATAACTTTAGCAAAGTTGTAGGATACAAAATTAACCCACATAAATATCAGCATTTCTATATATTGCCAACAAAGTGCAGCAGCAAGAGATAAAGAGAAATTCCATTTAAAATAACTATAGACAATATAAAATACTTGGGAATCTACCTGCCAAGACAAATCCAGGAACTATATGTATATAATTACAAAACACTTTTCACACAAAGTCAGATCTGAACAACTGGAAAAATATTAATCACTCATGGGTAGGCCGAGCCAATATAATAAAAACGACATTTCTACCTAAATTAATCTATTTATTCAATGCCATACCCAATCAAACTATCAAAAATTATTTCACAGAGCTAGGAAAAAATGATAACAAAATTCATCTGGAAGAACAAAAGGGCAAGGCTATCAAGAGAATCAATGAAAAAATGTAAAGGAAGATGTTCTAGCCATACCAGATCTCAAACTGTATTACAAAGTGCTTATTATCAAAACAATCTGGTACTGACTAAGAAACAGGGTGGTGGATGAGTGGAACAGAGTAGGTACACATTACATTATAGTAAATGACCACAGTAATCTAGTATATGATAAACCCAAATATCCAAGCTTTTTGAACAAAACTTTATTATTTGACAAAAACTGCTGGGAAAATTAAAACATAGCATGGCAGAAACTGAGTATAGGCCAATGTCTCACACCACATTCCAAGACAAGGTCAAAATGAGTACATAATTTACACATAAAGAGAGATACCATAAGTAAATTAGGAGAGCATGGAATAGCTTATTTGTCAGATCTATGGACAAGGGAAAAATTTAACATCAAAGAAACTACAGAGAGCAATACAAAATGTAAAATAGATAATTTTGATTATATAAAACTAAAAAGTTTTGCATAAACAAAACCAATGCAATCAAAATTGAAAGGAAAGCAGAACACAAAGAAAAACATTTTTCAACAAATATCTCTGATAAAGGCCTCATTTCTCAAATATATAGAGAACTGAGTCAAATTTATAAAAATACAAGTCATTCCCCAATTGATAAATGGTCAAAGGCTATGAATAGGCAGTTTTCAGACAAAGAACCAAAGTTATCTATAATTATATGAAAAAGTTCCAAATTACTATTGATTAGAGAAACGCAAATATAAACAACTATGAGGTACCACCTCAGAACTGTATAGCCCACTAGATCTATATCCTAGAGACATCAAAAGAAAATGGAAAAGAACATATTTGTACAAAATATAGATATGAGCTCTTTTTGTGGTGGTTAAGAATCAGAAATCAAGAGGATGCCCATCAATTGGAGGAATGGATAAATAAGCTGTAATATATGATGGTGATGGAATATTATTACGCTATAATAAACGACAAGTAGGATGATTTCAGAAAAACCTGGAAAGACTTATAAGAACTGATGCAAATTGAAGTGAGCAGAACCAGGAGCATGTTATACACAGTAAAAGCAATACTGTACAATGAAGAACTGTGAATGACTTAGCTATTCTCAGAAATACAATGATCCAAGACAATCCCAAATGATTCATGATGAAGCATGCTATCTGCCTCCAGATAAAGAATTGACACTATCTGAAGACAAAATGAAACATTTTTCTTTTTTCCTTTCTTTCTCGTTCTTTCCTTCTATTTGAGTCTTCTTGTGCAAAATGACTAATATAGAAATGTTTTACATGATTGCACATGTATAAAGTATATCATACTGCTTACAATCTTGGAGGATGGAGGGAAGGGAGGGATAGAATTTGGAACTCAAAATTATAAAAAAGTTCTTAAAACTGTTTTTACATGTAATTAGGAAAAAATAAAATATTATTTTTAAAGGTTTTCCTTGATTATAGGCCATTAGTAAATAGAAGCATTTTTTATTTCAGAAGTGTCGAATTTCACAATTTTCTGTATTTCATTGCAAAAAATCATTCATCAAATAGTTATACAATCATGCTTCTGATCAATTCATCAAAAGTTTATCAAGTACTATATAACTATATGCAGACTACTACACTGGGCACTGGGATATAAAGAAAAAAAGCAACAAAACATTCTCTTAAGGAGTTTACATTCTGATGACAAAAAGTCGTAATTAAACTAATTAATAGCAACCATCAGAAGTATATACAAGATTAGTTGCTAATTGTTCCTACTACCTATGAATCTGTTATGACATTGATAAATGCACGTACTGAATCACAATGTTCAAGCTCAGTATCAAAAAAATAACCTGATTCTGACTCTGCAAGAAAATGCACTTTAGCGTAAAATATGAGCAGCCTGAGTACATTACAGGACTTCACAAAATATTTTAATACTCCAAAAGAAGGTCTCCAACGCAATGCACAGATCCTCTGATGGACGCTCTATGAAAGGACAAAGGCAACAATCACACAAGATGAGAAGGCATGGATGGATTGTGAATGGCAGTAGGGCAACACTGGTGAGCTGGAAGGAACCCCTAAAGGTAATCCAGTGAAATACTTATTTTACAGTTGAGGAATCTAAGGCTGAGTGAGGATTAAGTGACTTGCATAGAGTCACAGAGGTATTTTATTAAGTAGCAGACCCATGATTTGAAATGAAATCTTCTCATCTTTCAACTCAAAATCCAGCAAATCTTTCCATGAGACCAAATACAAACCCATGAAACCACAGAACTGACTATTCTCATGTAAGTATAGTTAAGAAGTTAAAAAAAAAATAGCTACTTACTGGAATCATCCAATTGGCCAGATCACCAAACTTTGAAACCTGCATCGCTCCTAACATTGTTAAGTTGACATGGCCACTAATAAAAGGGAAACAAATATAATTAATACTTGCCACTGAAACAAGCTTCAAGATCTTCATGTTATTTATTGGCTTATCATGTGTAGAATCACAGCATGTTGGAGTTGGAATACATATATAATCAAATCCTAAATTACAAGTTCCTCGTAGAAAAGCTTTCTGCTTTTGCTGCACTGGAGCTATTCTACCAAGAGGAATAAGAATTCTGGGGCTGGAAAGAAGCTTAGATATCATCTAATCCAACCTCTTCATTTTATAAATGAGGAAAGTCCCAGAGAAGCACAATGAATTGCCCAAAGCAATAAAAGTAAAAATTAATAATAGTAGATTGTATCTCTCTACCACCAATAAAAATTTAATTTCAAAGATATGTCATTATATTCCACATATGTGGAGGAATAATATTTAATACTTCTTTAAATGTTAGATTTTGTAACCAGTAGTTGCTTGTAAACAAACAAAACAGGCAGGTGCATATGGTTAGTTTTTTTTTTTCCAGGAGAAAGAATTAGACAAACAGGAGGGGCCATAAATAGAAGATATTTGAGCATAATCAATTCATATGAAAGGCTGAAAAAGTGCAAATTTCCAATTACAGATGCATTTTTATGCAATTCATTCTAGAGTTCTTATATAAAAAGTAACCTTTTAATTATACAGTAGGCTGAATATTTCAACTACCAATATTCAATTAAAATTATTTCAGAAGCTATTGCTGAACAAATCCATGATAGTTTTACAGCTGTTAAACATGTATTCTGCTTCTCAGTACTGCTAATATGCTTAGGGAGTGACTCAGCTCATTCCACCTCATGCGAAACATGAGGGGTTCAGTTATTACATACCCTCTAATCATAGCAAATGATTCATCGCTGGAGAAATACGAGGCCCCTGGAAGAACAGTGACTGTTTCCTTGCCTGAAAAGAAGTAGGTATTAGATTTCCTAATAGAGAAACAGTACTCACATTACCAACAGAGGAAAAGAGCTACACAATTTTCTCTCTTTTTTCTCAAAAAGATCGTAAGACTTGATTTGCTGAATATCAAAACCCTATTGGAATGCCTTTGCTGGAAGCGCCTCCATGCCTCACGGAATGGGGAGCTAAGGATGTTTACTGGATAAAGCCTATCACAATCCAATGCCAACTATCTATCATTAGAAAGACGAGGCATGTGAAGTGAAAACATAGATGATACAAACAAAAATTAAAATAGAAAAAAATATATTTTTAGAGTGAAATTATTGACAAAAAGACCTAAATAATAATATAGGAAAGGATTGCTTATCCAATTACCTAACAATTACATCCTTCTACTGCAGGGGTGAACCGGCAAATGTTTAACAATTGCGGGGGAGGGAGGGAGAGAAGGAAGTGTAAGCAGGACCCACTTAGGGTTTAATTTGAATTATTAACATTTTCTCCTTTACTTCCTTAAGTATAAAAAATCAACAGAACAATAAACCAAAACCTGATTTTTATCTTTCTGATTTCTTGTGTGTAAACGTTCAGATTGTAAATTTAATAACTGGCAAGCTGAGCTGGCTGCAGCTCACCAGAGACTAGAGCTGGGGCCTGCTGTTCCCAGCTCCCTTTCCACTAGGCTTTGCTGATTCCCTTGTTCCAATTTCTAACCTACCCAACTATAAAAACAGTTCCAAAGAACTTGACCCTCACTCTAGGTGATAAAATTAAAATTTTTTTTAATTTATATTTTTTGAACTTAAAAAATAAAACAAGCATTTCCATAATATAGTAGAATAGGAAAAAAAGATAATTATACAAGAAATTGCAAATCTATTATGTACAACTTGCTATTCCTTTTAAATATATAATAGTTATCATGTAACTTTCTTTTTTTTCCCATTTTTTCTCCCCTCCACCCTGGAGAAGGCTACCATTAGACACAAATATGTATATATAGATGTAAAACTATTCTATGCATAGTCCTATTTATCAATTCTTTCTTTGGATGCAAACAGTCACAGGACTTTGCCAATCTATTTTTAAAGGCAAGGCGTTACATTTCCTTCAGATTCATACTTGGTGAGGCCTTTGGAATACGACTTTCTTTTGCATATGTCATGCAGAGAGCTAATATTTTAAACATTTTCAAGTCAAGAAAAGTCAAACAAGAGGTAAGCAGGGAAACTAGATATAAAGAAAACTGGGCTGAAATGTGGATGCTAATCTAAACTCCATAATTATTCCATGTGCGTGTTTCTGTATAAATTCCTTATCTGTAAAATGAGGCAGATAGACTCACTCCCTAATTAATTCTCACATCAGTCCTTTGAACAACCAGACTGGCCTATGCAAAGTGCTTTTGGCAATTCAACATAATGCATTTAAATATTTATGAGTGCTCCCAAAATATAAAAACTGCTATTATTGTTATTATATAACCCTGAAACTAATTATACCCTAGGGGTCTGTTAGTCAACCTGTTAGTATAAGAGCTTCCACTGAGAACTATCAGTAGGATTATCTAAATAACCTATGTTTCCCTTTTTAGCACAAGAACAACGTATTCATTTTTTTTCCATGCCATTTATTTGGTGTTCTCTTACCCAAGGCCTTGCCCTAAGAAACTTCTGTCCAAGGCAGCCACTAACCAGAAAATAAAAAAACAAAAATTCTGAAAAGGATTTTGGAGAAAGCTTCAGAATATACAAAACAAAGCTTTGCAGCATGGTTTTTCCATGTGATCTACATTTTGTATTCATTCCACAAATCAGTCTAAAATTTATATATCACATATATTTAACATAATTATATATAAATTGTATAAATTTTAAAATTTTACATATATATCAGAGAATTTTAGAACTGGAAAGGACTTTGGAGATTTTCTAGTCCAATTTACCTAGTTTAATGGGTTTTCAGATATCACTTAATAAAACTGGTGGTGCTATTGAGTTCCTTCTTAATCTCAGTGACCTCCTATCACTAGAAAAACCACTACTTTTCAAGGAAATGTGAGTTTTTATTAACTCAGGACTGAAACTCTGAAAATGGTATCATTCATTTGCAAAGAACTCACTAATATCATAAATTAATTAAGCCAAGGTGCAAATATTTTCACAGATCAATGAGCCATTGCCAAAGGACACATTTAAATTAAATTATAGCCTTGGTTAAATGTCATTGCCATATCTCAGAGTGCTTTTTGGAGTTGAACTGTGGTAGTTAACTCTAACTATTGAGAATAGTCTGTTTACTTCAGCAAAATTCTAAATGCCAAATGTTGGCAGCTGGTCTTCATGTTCCTCTGAAATTCTGAAGTAAAAGTTCACTGCTTTAGGGAGAAAGGTTAGGCAAGGGAAAGTCATGCCCATCCCACATACAGTTTGCAATCCTAATAAAAGATACATTAAAATGTATGAATAAAGATGCCATAGGGCAACCGACCCCGGAAGTTAGGAGGACCTGAGTTCAAATCTGGACTCAGACACTTGACACTTACTAGCTGTGTGACCCTCGGCAATTCACTTAACCCTACTGCCTAGCTAAAAAACAAAAACAAAATACAGACACTATCCCCTATAGAGAAGCCTGGTTTATTTCCCTCTATAATCTTGGGATATTGGCTGCAGGTGAGTCTAATTCTTCTCAGTAGTTAAACATAAAGCTGGATTAAAGTGTAAGGAAGGGCAAAAGAAGAAGACATTGTTAAAACTCTACTGGACTTGAAAGGAGAACCAAATTTGGTGTTAATTCCAAGAAACTTGATGATAAAGTCTCATCTCTTTCCACTTCCCTCCCCCCCACACAAACACACACACACACACACACACACACGAAACTGGGTTAAAAGCATGTAAATGCTTGGTTGAGGGGAGACTTTTGGTTAATGGACTCCATTAGACAGTGAGCTTCTCCAATAGACTTTGAGCTCCCTAAAGGCAGGAACTGGTCTTTGCCTTTCACTGTATCTTTAACTCAATACCTGACACATAATAGTTGTAACAAATGCTAATTGACTGATTGGAGCTGAGAAGAGAGGTCCATAAAGCTAGTCTTCCTTATCCCCTCTCCTTTACACTAAACTGCATCTTCTAACATGAAAGGTAGGATGTAGCCTAAGAGACCACTGTTGTTAGGTATAAAAAGAAATCATAAAGGAATAGTCTGAAGAAATCTCCTTATAAGTGATTTTACCTGCATTAATCAGGTCTGCATCAGCTTCATTTTCCAATGGATAAGGACCCTATCAAAAAAAAAAAAAAGCACAATCTCATTAAGTAAAAGAGTTATCGTGCTGAGCCACACATACTGAAAACACAGCCATAAGTTATCCAGAAGAGGCTAGAAAATTCCATTTGGTAAACTTCTGAGGAATTCTTTCTAAAATTTTGCTTCCCTTAATTCATTAGTCCTTTCACATTAATATTTATGTAAGAATATAGGCAACAGAGGAAGATTAGTGGCTAAGTGCTGTGCTTGTAGTCATTAAGACCTAGATTCAAATCATCTCTATGACATTAGCCCTCACTTTGGGTAAATCTCTTAATTTCTACGAACCACTAACAGCTCTCTAGGACTTTAAATCTCAGATGGTTGTAATGAAAGGTGTTGGAGGAGGCAGTTCGGTTCCCAGTGGTGATTAAATCACAGATGCTTCCAGTATTTGTATATCAGTGCAGAATGAAGCTGCGTGCCATGGAAGGGTTGGAATTACCATCAATAGAGGTTGCTGTCACTCTAGTGATATCAAGGTTCCCCCAAAGTACCAGATATCATAGGATCACAGATCCTATTAGCGCTAATATTCTTGCTAAAAGAGACCTTAGAAGTCACCTAATCCATCTTCCTTCATTTTAAAGATGAGAAAATTGAAGCCCAGAGTAAAATGACTTTGTCAAAGTCACACACACACACTCACACACACACACACACATACACACACAGAGAATACTAGAACAGGATTAGAACAAGTCAGTACTCTTTCAACAACATTTAGTAAACAGCTTCAAAAATTAGGTATTGAAGTCAGAAATTAAACTTTAGACAACATAAAATAGCTATTTAATCAAGTAATTCGCTGAGTGAGCAGTAGTTTTGTGAGTAGTAAGTAGGTATCAGCAGTCTTCATAAATCTTTATGAGTAAATATTAACTAGCCACATTTTCAATATATTTGTACATCTAAAAAGGTTAATTGTGGGCAAGCAAGCTTCAATTTTCCCATCTGTGGAAGGAAGGGGTTAGCTTGAATTATAGTATCTACAATCTATTCTGGTTTTCTGATGTGAAACTACTGTTTTTTTTTTAATTCTACATGAATCTGTTTTCTTCATTTTAACATCATTAATCAAGTGCTTATGGAACACCTATGTGCCCAGCATTATTACTATTATTTTAACTACTTAGTTGCAAATTATGTATACTTATAGTTGTTAAAATTATAATAGTAACTAATATTTACTTTGTGGTAGGCACTCTAAAAAATTTCAAACCATAGTCCCCAGGTACATGTTATTACATATCACTGTCATGGAGACAAATAAAACAAATTGCATTGAGATCTTTCTTAACTGGTTGTGAAATAATAGCAACACTCCTTGTCTTTTAGAAATTAGCTTTCAATCATTCAAGACAGAGCTTCACTCGGGACTTTAAAATGTAGAATTTATATAATGACTTAAGTTTTGCAAAGAGCTTTACAAATATTATCTCATTTGATCCTGACAACCACCCTGGGAGTTGGGTGCTATCATTATCTCCATTTTACAGATGAGAAAACTGAGGCAGACCAAGATTAAATGACTTGCTTAGTCACAAAGTTAGTAAGTTTCTAAGTTTCAAGTCTTCCAGATTCAAGGTCCAATACTCTATTCACTTACCATCTTATTGATTCTTAATATACAATTCTTAAGAAGCTTTATTATGCTTTCCCACCCAAAGAATACTAGAAAAAATGTGCGGAAACATCTTAGAGGCAGAAAGAGAAGCTGGGGTAGCTAAACAGCACAGCAGATAGAGTGCCAGGCCTGAAGTCAGGAAGACTTATCCTCCTGAGTTCAAATCTAGCTTCAGACATTTAATAGCTGGGTGACCCTGGGGAAGTCACTTAACCCTGTTTGCTTCAGTTGCCTCATCTATGAAATGAGCTGGAGAAGGAAATGTCAAACCTCTTCAGTGTTTTGCCAGGAAAACCCCAAATGGGTTCACAAAGAGTCAGATGTGACTGAAATCGCTGAACAAACAAAAAATGAGTAGCAATAGCTGACAGAAATAAAGAGAATTGAACCTGGAGTCAAGATGGCCTGCATTCAAATTCAGCCTCAGACAATTACTAGCTGCGTGATTCTGGACACGTCACTCCACCTCTGTTTATGTTAGTTCCCTCATCTATGAAATGGGTATAAATAATACTTCCCTCCAGGGTTGTTGTGAGGCTCAACTGAAATAATACTTGTAAATCACTTAGCATAGTGCGGGGCACACAGTCCTGTAAAACAGTACCTAGTACATAGGTACTATAAAAATGTCACCTACTATTAATGCTAAAAAGCAGACATACAACTATGTTGTTGTTCAGTGGTGTTGCATTCTTCCTGGCTCTATTTAGGGTTTTCTTGGTAGAGATACTGGAGAGGTTGGCCATTTTCTTCTCCAGCTCATTTTATAGATGAGGAAACTGAGGCAAGCAGGGTTAAATGAACTCCCTAGGATCATACAGTTATGTGTCTGAGGCTACATTTGAACTCGGCAACAATCTTCCCTACTTCAGGCCCAGCACTCTACGCACTATAGCACCACCTAGCTGCTGTATTACAGTACAATAAATAGTAGATGGTCATTATGATGACTCAGTCATGAAGAAAAAGGTAAATTATGTTTGTTATGCTTTGTGTAAATTGGGAGGAAAAGCATATGATAAAATACTTTCTAGAAAGAATCCATCAAAAATGGCGTAATTTTTAATGGTATCTACAAGCTATGTTTCAGTTATTTGCAAAATTGACTTTGGTTGAAAACCCCTGTTCCTAACGACAACGAAGAAGTGGAATGCTATTGTATATCTTACCAAGCCTAGGACTCCATTTTCACTCTGCAGATGAACAGTAATGTCAGGACTGATGAAGTTGCTGGCCAGAAGAGGGATTCCTATACCCAAATTAGCTGGAAAAAAAATTTGTTAAGGTCTAGTTTGGAATAGAAAAAGGAGATTATTTCACAGAATCTGCTACTTGCATGAGTATGAATAGCATTCTCCCATAAGGGAACATAATAACTGCAAATTTTTAGAAAATTATGGAGGATACTTAGGGGACTATATCTTGTGATATTTGTGACAGAAAAACTGAGGTCACCTGCAGCTTGCCTTCTAGCAAAAATATGACGTAGCTGCCCAAGGAAGCAGATCAGTGGCTTCACAACCCTTGCGAGAAAGTCATTTTTGTCATGAGATATATTGTTAGTTTTATTAAGGGATCCACATACTTACCCTGAAGTACTGTAAACAAACCCACAAAAACTTCCAATCATTTCACTATTTAGAACTTCTCATCAAAGAAAAAGATGATGATTTGATTCTCTAGGCAAGGACTATTGAAAGTTAATGAAGCAAGTTTTCTGGTGCCTAAGTTTAGATTTTGTGGGTACAATTAATTCATTAGCATCATCTTCAAAATTACTAAAGGAAAAAGAAGATTTAAGTTTCAGCAAATGCAACTGGGATAAAATTCAAAGAACTTTCTAACTATGAGAGCTGTTAAGGTAGTATTCATCTGTAGCTGCTATTCAGTCGTCTTCAGTCTTCTCTGACTCTTCATTTTCATTTCTTGTCAGAGATGAGTGATTTGCCATTTCCTTCTCCAGCTCATTTTACAGATGAGGAAACTGAGGCAAACAGCATTAAGTGACTTGCCCAGAGTCATACAGCTAGTAAGTGATTGAGGCCATATTTGAACTCTGGAAGATGAGTCTTCCCGAATACAGACCCAGCATTCTATCCACTGTGGTACCTAGCTGCCCCTTTCCCTCTCTAGAGAAAACCCTACAAGAGGATCTCAAAATTGACAGGGTTCTCAGAGAGTATCTAGTCACACATGAAGAAGAGACTTTCTATGGGGCAGCGAGGTGGCACAGTGAGTACAGCTCTGGCCTTGGAGTCAGGAGGACCCGAGATCAAATCCAGCCTCAGACACTTAACACTTACCAGCTGTGTGACCCTGGGCAAGTCACTTAACCCCAACTGACTCACCAAAAAGCAAAAAAAAAAAAAAAGAAGAAGAGACCTTCTATGACAATAGTGTCAAATTCAAATAAAAACAGGCACCACTAAACTAAAAATAAGGATCCCTGAGGGTTGCACATTGACTTAGAAAACCATATATTAACATCATCTATTTTCCATTGTGTTTTTGTTTTGTTATATTTTTCCCAATTACAGGAATGCTGGAGGGTATTTGGACTAATGTTTTAAATCTCTGCTCTATAACATGCCTGACAACTCCAGTATCTCTTCCAAGAAAACCCCAAATGGGGTCACAAAGAGTCAGACACAACTAAAAATGTATGAAATGTATCTTCCTTGTAATGTTATATATTATGTTTAGATATGTTGCAACATCTCCCTATAAGAGTCCAAGATCCTTAAGGAGAAGGAATAAATTTTACCTAAACTATGTTTTACCCTAATACTTTAGCTTAGTGGGCTCCACATACAGGAATACATAGTATAAGTGAATCATGCATTCATGGCAGGGACGAAAATCATATCTACTTTAACAAACAAGAGACTTACTTATAAACTACCTGAAAAGGTAGATATCGGACTAGATCACCTCCTAGAGGCTTGAGAATCCTACGACGTGATGAGCCTGTCCACTTTGCTAAGCTATATGACAAGATCATAAATTTAGCACTGGAAGGAATCTTTAATAAATAATGATATTTAATTTTACTCTTTAATAAAGTCTACCTATTTAAAGTCCTCATTTTACAGATAAGGAAACTTGAAACTTAAGTTAAGTGACTTGCTCAAAGTCACACACAGCACAGCCAGCCTTTGAATCCAAGTCTTCTGACTCAAAATCCAATACTCTTTCCCCCATTCCTATATAACCTCCTCAATTAGTCTTAATTTTATATCATTTAGAAAACTACAATATTTTTCAGTGATTCCAAATGGCTCAGCAAATCACAGTATTCATATCAATTTCATCATAAACCAGTAAAAATTTATGATACAACCTGTAATAGGAATATGTCTGGGTGAAATATGAGCCTTACTCTACTTTCCTTCCATTCTGTTATTTGTCCTGTACTTTAGCTCTATTTAGTCAATCAGACACTGTGATGAGAACCAGGAAGTAAAAAAAGTCTGTGTATTTTGTATTTAAACAAACTAGTTATTGTGGGAAGACTGTCTGTATCTTCTGGCTTATGAGTATCTTCCCTGGGCAGCAGGGTAACAGAGAATACTGAGGACTCATTTGCTATTGTTCCCCGCTAATTAGGGTTATTATACAGTCAGTTCTCAATTATCCATGGCAAATAATTTAGATTCTAACAGCTGGGGCTTCAGAAAAGGCACAATGCTTAGTTTTCAGCTCCTGACTTGAAATTCCCACCTCCATTGTTGACTCCGATTGGAGGTAGAGGAAGTTTTAAAGATGGTGAAGTTTAGGAAGAAAGGAGGATGTGCACAGGGGAGGAGAAGGGACACTTCCCCAAAACACTACTCCAACTCAAATGTTCACAGCTCCTAACAGAGAAGAGAAAGGTTGGAGAAAACAGCCAACTTTCAGAGCTTTAATAGTTAAGTTTTCATGTAACTTTTTTTTTCCTTCCCTCCCCCTCTCCCACCGTATCTATTTAAAAGGAATACCAAGTTGTACATAACAGATTTGCAGTTTCATGTGCAATCATCTTTTTAAAAATTCTGCTGTTATAAAAATGCTTGTTTTATTTCATAAATTAAAAATAAAATAAATAAAAATTTTTGAAAGAGCAGATATTAATCAAAAAGAACTCTGATTGCCTAAAAATAAAAAAAAGAAAAAGAAATTATGAGCAGGATGCTTTTAGAAAAACCTGGGAAGAATTGTATGAACTGATACAAAGTGAAATGAGCAGAACCAGAGAACATCACACACAGTAACAGCAATATTATAAGGATAATAAACTACAAAAGACCTAGCTACTCTGATCAAGACAATAATCCAAGACAATTCCATCTACTCCTGAGAGAGAACTGATGAATTTTGAGTGCAGATTAAAGCAAATTGTTTTTCACTTTATTTTTCTTGCTTTTTCTTTTGCAACATGTCTAATATAAAAAATATATTTTGCAGTACTTCACCTGTATAATGAGTATCATAATGCTTGTCTTTTCAACGGGTGAAAGAGGGGTTAAAGGGAGAGAATTTGTAAATCAAAAGAATACATTTTAAAAATAAAGAAATTATTCTCTTTGGCATTTAAAGCCTTTCCCAACTTGGCTGCAACCTACCTACAACTAGGTGGCATACTGGGGTAAGCACGGGACTGGGACTCAGGAAAACCTTAGTTTAAATCCTACCACAGACACTAGATATGTGATCTTGAGCAAGGCACTTAATTTCTGTCTGCCTCATTTCTTCATCTGCAAAATGGGGATAATAATAGCATCTGTTTCCCAATGTTGTTGTGAGCATAAAATAAAATGATATTTGTAAAGCACTTTGTAAACTTTAAAGCACTATATAAATGCTAGTTATTATTATTATTATTTCTCAACCTTTCTTAGACATTAGTCCCATTTATATCCTATACACTTCAATTAAAATACATTCCATCTCTCACCCCTGTATTTTTTGCACTGGCTACCCACCATGCCTGGAACATATTCCTTCCTCACTTTTGTCTCTTAAAAACCTAGTTTTCTTCAAAGAGCAGATCAAGCACTGCTTCCTGTATGACAATTTTCTACATCATCCCACCTGCTACTGACTCCCCCACCTCAAAACAAAACAGCTAAAATTAATTTTGTATATACTTAACTATGTGCATGTTGCCTCTCCCATTAGACTGTAAGCTCCTTGAAGATGGAGACTTTTTTGTTTTGTCTTCATATCCCCAGGGTCTAAAGCAGTGACTAGAATATAAATAAATACCTGCTATTTAATTGAGAAAGGTTGTAGCAGCCATAGCTAGACTGCCAGTCTCAGGTGACCCAGATCTGAAATTCTGCCTATAACTGCTCTTAGTTAAGTGACTTAAGTTAAGTCACTTCCCAGACCTTCAGTTTCACAGGAAGATAGACCCAGAACTAGGAGGGGGCTATCCACATCCAGAGAAAGAACTATGGAGTCTGAATGCAGGTTGAAGCATACTATTTTCTCTTTTATTTATTTTCTTTTTTTCGGTTTCTTCTTACTCATGGTTTTTCCCTTTGATTCCAATTCTTCACAACATGACTAATGTGGATATGTGTTTAATATGATTCTACATGTACAGCCAATATCAGATTGCACACCATCTTGGGGAGGACGGAAGAGAGAAAGGGGGAAAAAATTTAGAACTCAATCTTATAGAAGTCAATGTTGAAAACCAAAAATAAATAAATAATTTTTAAAAAAGACAAACAAAAGAAAAAACAGAAGTTACTCTGAAGATCTTAAAGAATTATAGAAATGTGTGGTGTTGATTTTCATTTGACTTTTGAGTTTTTTCTTTCATTGAGAACTGTGATTTCACTGATAGAGATATCTCACTTCTGTAATATTTCAGTCTTAGAGAACTGCCTTGAGCACTGAGAAGTTAAATGACTATCCTGTGGTTACACAGCTAATGTGTCAAAGGCATGACTGAATCCACAGATCACTACAGGAGAAAAATCTTGTAACTGAAGCTACAAGGTATGTGGTTGTTAAAATTCCCAATTCCAACAATAAATAAGACATCTGCAAGTAGGCAGGAGAATGACCTTCCACTCTGAAGGAAGGACAATTTACATAACCCAATACTATTCATCACTCATGAAGAACCAATCAAACAAAAGAATGAGAACATAAAAAACGGCATTCAAGCCGTGACACAAAGTAACATATACTGTAAAACTGAGCCTAATCAACAATTTAGAAATATGAGTCTTTTCCAAAAGAAAAGTATCTGAGGCATTCTTGTCCTGAAAAACCAGAAGTGAACAAAAATACAAATAAGTACAATTATCAAGAAAAAACTAACCAATTAAATCAATTTCCTCATGTTTCTAAAAAAGAGAAATTTGAGGAGTAAAAGAAAGAACAAAGAAGGATCACCAAGGGATGAAAAAGACCAAAGGGCTATGTTAAAAGGAAATTATAAAACTCCAGAGAAAGGAAAGCAGAAGAGTTGAACTAATTTCCCACAGATCAGATCCCATGATCCCCTCTAAGTGTATCAATACTTTTTGTCAGAGGGATAACACCATGGGAAAATGTATAAATGGGGAGAGTGGATATGAGAGAGAGGAGAATTAGAGATTTACTCCTACCTAGTACATGGATGAAGAGAGAAGGCTCTGTTCTCTCACCGAGAGCTGGGGCTGTGAAAAAAAACAGGATAAAAGTCATAGAGGGGAGGGACTGTGAAGTGGGGAGCAGAAAGAGTTTCTCTACCTGGAAAGAAAAAAAAATGATAATTTGAGGTATCCAAGAAGTATCTAAAATACAAATATATACAGAATAGGGGCGCTGAAGGTATGGAGCATACTGGTGAAACCCTGAGCCAACACATTAAAATACTTCTCTCTGTTCACAAGGAGCAATCAAATCGAGTGCTACTTTGTTGTGATATAATTCCCAACAACTAAAGGATACCATACATGCCGTCCTCAAACTCGAGGGCTGCTCGTTTGATGATCCTTTCTCTTACGTTATCATCAGACTTGAATTTGGCTTTCCCATCATCCTTCTTTCGAATTATCAGACGCTTTAAAAAGAAGCAGAAATTAAACTTCACGTCATTATTACTGTCTTGCATTGTATCATTGATAAAAGATAAAGTTTTAATGAATGAAAAAGGATGACACTATAACCTCTGAATTAAGAGTTGACACTGTAACCTCCAAATAACCTTAAATTCAATTCAATTCAAATGCATTAATGCCCATTATGGGCAAGGCCCAGTGGACAGAGTGCCAGGCCTGCAGTCAGAAAGACTGATTTTCCTGAATTCAAATCCAGCCTCAGATACTTACTAACTGTGTGACTCTGGGCAAATCACTTAACCCTGCTTGCCTCAGTTCCTCAGCTATAAAATGATCTGGAAAAGGAAATGACAAACCACTCTCATATCTCTGTCAAGAAAAACTCAAATGGGGTCATGAAGAGTCAGACAAGACTGAAAAAAGACCGAACATGTACAAGGCACTGCACTAAGGAGGGAATAAAAGGACAAAAATAGGGGCCGCTAGGTGGCGCAGTGGACAGAGCATCGGCCCTGGAGTCAGGAGGACCTGAGTTCGAATGTGACCTCAGACATTTGACATTCACTAGCTATGTGACCCAGGGCAAGTCACTTAACCCCACTGCCTAGCCAAAAAAAAAAAAAAAGGACAAAAATGAAGTAGGACCTATGTGCAAGGAGCTTTCTACTGGAACACACAGCATATACACAAAGATATATAAAATTCAACACAATTTCAAAGGGGATAGAGTGGTTACCAAAAGATTCATGCAGAAATGGCAGAGGAAATATGCTTTGAAAAAAACTATTAGTTAAATTGGCGGTATTTTGATCAAACAAAATAAATGCATACAGAAAAGGAAGATATTTTCACTGCCCTCCTTAGAAAGTATTTCCCTTTGATTTTATCACACTGACTACCATTACAGCTACTCTTTAAACATGTCTGATATGATTCTTTCTTAGATTCTGAGGGGATTAAATAGCATAACTAGAAATGAGGTCACTTTGGCTGTCCCTATCCCTAGGGCAGTCAGGATTTGCTCATCAAGAGCTGATGTTGAGCCTATGTTCCTGTACGCCCCATAAACAGGGCTCAAACCACTTCCACGGGAATTGGCTCCTGCCCCATGAGAACCATTAAAAAAAAACCAACAACAGAAAGTGGCACAAAATGCAAACCCATTAACTCTTAAATAAGTGTCCATCATGTAGAAGGCACTATGCTAGATGCTAGGTATGCAAAAATGAAATTAGTCCCTATCCTCATGGCTTTTATAGTCTGTTGGGAAAACTTCTTTCTGTGCCTGTAACTGCTATTGTCCTATCCTTTTCCTCTAGTCCTGGATTATTTTTCATCTTATATTTTAAACTGCATTTCTGCCTGTACCTTTCCTGTAGCCTCTCTCTGGTTCCCTGACCCTCTGCTGCCCTAATGAATCATGCCCCAATATGAAGCCTGACAGCTGTGCTTGCTTTCAAGCTGCTTTTCCATCTCACCTAGTCCTTGCCAAGCACAGGATTTTCCTAGTTTGGGATGGTCATCATGAACTAGGAGAAATTATTTTTAAAAAGAAGAAAACTGAAAAAACCATACATCCAATAATCATAGCCATACATATAAACAATCCAATAAAAATGTGGCAGATTAGGTAGTTTGAGATGCTCATCAGAGACTTGGAGAAATAGACAGATAGATGAATGGACACACACACATACACACAGAGCTGCTAATGAACAGAGATGAATTCCTCTTTGCTGCCATGCAAAGGTAACTGACTTCTAGTGGAAAAGTGGGGAGTGAGAAAAGAGGGGAATAGATGTCCTGGTCTGTAGGTAGTCAGGAGACAGCCGCACAGAACTACCAAACGTAAAGCTATCCTTCCCTTACATAAGAACCATTGAACCTGTACCATTCTTTATAAATTCCCCCAATGCTAGTAAACAGGCACTGAAGGCCCCAGGATCTCACAATGGCTTACCTACTTTACAAGGCTGTTGTACGGAGAGTATATCATAAGCACTATATCAATGCAACTTGTTTTTAGGTACCTAGCTTCACAAATCCATTAAAGAAAAGCTACAAGATCAGTGAATTCTTATTGCAGAACTGTTCTCTCTTATGCAGGGATCCTTAATATGAGGTCTTAAAATGTTTATTTTTAAAAATATACTTTAAAAATAGAGTTTTTAAAATATTTTTTGATAATCATATTTCAACATGATTGGTTTCCTTTGCAATCCTTCGTATTTTATTTTATTATTTTCAATGTATTATTCTTAGAAGAGATCCTCCAAAGAGGTCCTCCCCCCAACACACATGCAATTTTTGAGAACCACTATTCTAGAGGTATGTGATGAGACAGCTCTAAGACATGTGGAGAATCCTAATTCTTAGACCTTAGGAGTATAACCTCAACAAACTCCATAGGACGGGAGTATGGAAGCCAAGTCCTCCAACACAAGGCATACTGGCCACCTCTCTCTCTCAATACCTGTAACCACCTGGGCAAGACAAATATGTTGAGTTAATTACCTCAATTCTTTTTTCATATGTTTTTCCCTTTATAAGGCGATGAACATAAATCTTGGGAATATGAATATCTTCTGGAGCAAATGATCCAATATCAACAATTTCTTCAACCTAGGCAGAAAGAGAAAGTAATCATCAGGTAATGGGATTATTTATAGATTATTATTATTTACATATTATATTATATAGAGGATTATTTTTAAAACATACAACTGGTCTCTACCAAAGTTGATAATGTGTGTGTATTTAAATATACAAAATGCCTAACAAAAGAAAGAGATGGCGTACCAACTTTCTGGATCCCCCAAATGGAAGAATAACAAACAGCAGTTGACTACAATGTACATAGTTTACAAAATGCTTTCTCCATAACAACTGTGTAAGATATGTAGGGAAAGTATCAGTGCCCCTGTTTTACATTTACATGAAAAAAACAAGGATCAGAGGTCACAGAAACTAAGAACTGGGAGGGACTTCAGAGGAAGTTTTTCCAAACTGGAGCTGAACAATTAAATGACTAGCCCAGGATAATAGTTACTTAAGTGTTAGAACCAGGTCTTGAACACAGTACTTTTGACTCTTAGACTGTTGCATAGACTGTTGGCTACCCACTGCGTCTATAAATTAACTGTTAACATGCATTTACGTGTTTGTTGATGGAACTGTGATCCATCCATTATGGAAAACAATTTGAGAATATGCCCAAAAAGTCATTAAACTCTGTATACCCTTTGACCCAGCAATACCTCTACTGGGCTTATACTCAAAAGAGATCAAAGAAAGAGGAAAAAGGATCCAGATATACAAAAATATTTATAGCTGCTCTTTTGGGATACATCTACGTGACATAGCTGATGAAGTGCTGGCCATGGATTCACAAAGACCTCCGTTCAAATCCAGCCTTAAGACATTTACTAGCTGTGTGACCCTGGGTAAGTCACTTAACCTCTGCCTCAGTTTCCTCATCTATAAAATGGGGATAATAAGAATACCCACTGTGAATGGCTATTGTTAGGATCAAATGAGATAATCGTAAAGTGCTTACCCCATTGCCTAGCTCACAATAAGTATTACATAAATGTTACTATTATTAGTAATAATTAGTAATCATTGGTAGTAAAAAGGAACTGATACTAAGGTGGTATCCATCAGTTAGGGAATGTTTGAACAAATTATGGTATATGAATGTAATAAAATACTATTGTACCATATGTGCCATAAGAAACGATGGAACGGTTTCAAAGAAACCTGGTAAGACTAGCATAAACTGAAGAAGAGTGAGAACAGAATCAGGAAAATATTTATACAATAGCAACAACACTGTAAAAAGGAGTAACTGTGAAAGATTTAAGAACTCTAAACAATGCAATAAACAACCTTGATTCCAGGGAACCAATGTTGAAGAATGAGACTCACCTCCTGACAAAGAAGTGATGGACTAAATACGCAAAAGGATTCACAGATTTCTGAAAATGGCCAATGTGGGAATTTTTATTCCTGGCTATGAATTTTTGTTACAAGGATTTGGGGCTCTTTTTTTTTTCCAGTAGAAGGTGAAATAAGAGGGAAAGGAAATAAATACTTGTTAACTGAAAAATAATGAAATTTAATAAAAATACATACATGGATTAGGGTAACAATATTGTCAAAGAAAAATATTCTAGCAGCATAGCTGTGCATTAAATTGTATGATCTGAACCATGACAACTCAAATGTGCAAAATGCAATTCTTCACACCCAGACTTCTAAAATTAACGGGCAAATTTTATCATATAAATGACAAAAATCAATATTAACTCCAGTCTAGACAATTACAGTTTTTTTCTTTAATTAAAGTTGCAGGTCTCTGCTTTTCACTTATAATTGAAAATTTTAAATTACTCCCCACCCCAAGGTTATTATTCAGGCCACTCACTTGAATGAAAAGACATTTCGTAAGAACAGAAAGTTCTCTAAATTAAACTACTATTTTAAAACCAGTTATTTGTTTTGGGGTGATGAAGCAGGGGATGGAGCCAGTACAAAAGAAATTGTTTTGGACGTGAATACAAAGGACACCAAGTAACAAAATAAAAAGGAAGTCAGTTAACATCATCCCAGAAATATAATCAGCCTCATTTACTAAAATCCCAAGAACTGTTATCCATGAAGATTGTAAGTGTAAGGATAACTACTAGGCAGGGTAAATACTGAAAAGTAAGAAGTTTAAATACCAAACTAGAAGAAGGCCTTTACTAGCAACAATGATACAGCAGAATAACAACAACAACAACAACAATAATAATACTGAATTGGTTTGTGCAAAGGAGAGTTACATTTAATTGAACCTCCCACTCTCCTAAAGTGAATTCTCCAGATTATTCTTCCACAGGTAATCATTTTAGAAACAGTACCACAACCATCCACAAACTATTAAAAAACTGAAACATCCTATTCACTCACACATTTCTCCACCCTCAAGAGATGTTTTACTGCTGAAATAAAACAAGGAAGCAGGCAATCACTTTAGTAAAACGTCCCAGGTAAACACTCCTAGGAACAGCCTATCCCAGTCATATTTACCCCTCTTCTTCAAGGGTGAAGTTAAAAAAAGTGTTAAACCTCTTTATATATTCATCTTTTTTATTTGCAATAGATAGCAGGTAAAGTTATGCCTTCACTCGCCCTATCCAAGGCTTCAGAGAGATTCCTGCTGCAAATTAAAAGAGTTTACCTGGTGAAACATAATAAAAGGGGAAATAGTATATTTCCTTTTCAAATTAGGAAAAAAGAGAGAATGTACATAGTAAGAAGAAGAGAAAATACCACTGGAGAGTTACTTAATGCTATGAATGTATATATAGAGGCAGGCCTACTCAGATTCTCTCTATTTTTAAAAGAAACTTACAAGAGCAGCAAATGCACTTACTCCAAAATTAACTGAGTACCTGAGACAGAGAGAGAGAGAGAGAGAGAGAGAGAGAGAGAGAGAGGGGAGAGAGGTCCTAAGATAACAGTACTCTCAGGATGTCAATTCCTTTTATTTCCCAATTGTTCCCTAAAGAATAGCAATGATCTCAGCTCTGCCATTTATTAGCTGTGATCTTGGCTAAATCATAATCCTTCTGAGCCTCAGTTTCCTCATCTATAAAATTAGGGGGTTGGACTCAATGACCCTTGAGGTACCCTCCAGCTCTAAATTTATGTCCCTGTGGTCCTGTCATCTTTGAGAAGAAATTTTTAAAAAAAAGAGAATTTGCTTTCTCGTTTTGTGTTCTGAAGACAAAAAAAATTGATGACCATCTTTTCTTGCTTGGGTTTTGCTGTTGTTGTTTTAATACCTAACATCTCTTCCTCTAGGAATATTTGTCTTCTTTCAAGCCTCAACTCAGCTCCTACTTCCTTGTTTGAAATTTAAGCGTCTCTTCACTTTTTAGTATTTACCCTGCCTGGTAGTTATCCTAATACTTCTGATCTTCAAGGATAACAGTTATTTGGATTAGTAAGTGGGACCAAGTGATGTTAACTAACTCCATCTTATTACCTGGGGGTTCTTTATGTTCATGTCCGAATCAGTTTCTTTTATCCTGACTTCATATACCCAAATCCAACCCCTACAAAACATAACAAAACAACCAACTAGTTTTGAATAGCAGTTTGACTTAGGGCACTTTATTACAAAATGTAATAATATATAAATAATAAATGAAACATATAAATAATATAAATAACATATAAAATAATATAAATATTTCCTAGTGAATGGCCTGAATAATAATAAGCTTGAGGGAAAGTAATTTTAAAATTTAAAATTGCCTCTAGGAGAACTGATCTGATCCCCTCCACTTGCTGGTAGTCTCTTACTTTTCAAATTATCTTGTATTTACTTTTTATATACATGCTATGTCATTCCAGTAGAATGTAAACTCTCTGGAAGCAGGAATTATTTGATTTTTTTTCTTTATATCCACACCGCTTCGGTACAGTACTTTACACACAGTGAGTGCTCAATGAAGATAATGATAATGCATTTTAATGAATGGCCGCAAATGGGCAGGATGTGGACCAGAAATCAAATCTAGAATCCAGTCCTGCCTCAACTATTCACCAGATATGTAAGAAAGTAGGAAAGTAATTTTTACTATAGGAAATTGTCATTTGTGTAAGGGGGTTAGACTCTATGATCTCTAAGGTACCCCTTAGCATATATATGGAAGAGAAATATGTTAACATATTGTAGTCATCAATCACTTCTGACATCTTGGTTTGACAAAAATAATAAAATACTTTTACACAATTCTACATAAAAAGAGTTTATTTATCAAAGAAGCCTAAATCCTTTCTGTTGCTGTTAGCTCCCCCACTGATTTCCTCCATTGCTTCACCAAATAAACACCAATAGTCACCAAATCCAGACAATGCTTTATTACAAAGGGGAAAGACAGTATATTCCAAAACAAATGGAACTAAAGAATGTGCTTTTTTAGAAAGTTTTTAAAAAATAAACAAAAAATAATAATAATAATAATAATCTTAAGAATCACAACTGCAATTGATAAAAACAACATGAAAAGGACTTTCAGGGCAAAGAAATTACATGTATATTAGCTGTCATAATTATAACTTATCTCTCTCAAATAATATCAACATTCAACTTTATTGCAAAATTCCTATGTGAAATCAAAGTTTTCTTAGGATTAGTCACTAAAGTTAACAGCATGGGGAAAATATAGTTGGAGGCCAAACCAAAAAGAAAACATATGTTTTCAGACAATCTGTGAAAAAAAAAACTTGAAAACTGAAGAGGCAGAAATATATTGGTGCTGAAAACTGAACGGACAGAAGAATTTAACACCCTAAATTTTAAGATACTGTGAAAGAACAGATAGTCAATGCTATTGATGGAATAAATGCTGGGGGGGGGCGGGGCGGGAATATAGCTATGGTATAGAAAATAACATGGAGTTAAATCCATGAGGTAATGAAAATGTAAAAGAAAAAAAAAAAGCAGTAAATATGAGCTCCCCAGAGAAAAAGGACAAGGTCTTTTCCCCTCTGCAAATGACAAGATCATTAGGCTGAGACAAATACCCACTTGGGATAATAGATAGAGGAGGAAAAGGTATCAAAAT